AATAGGTTTTCATGGAGTTTGGAGGCAAAAAATGGGCTAGGAAGCACAGCTGGTGATCTCCTTCTGAAACTCAGCCAATGAAAATGCTAGGTGTCACAGTGAACCAATCTGTACCTGACTGGGGGGAGGGGAAGGGTGCTTGGCATACGACTGGGCACCATTATGTTGCTTGTGCACAGGGTCACATTGCTGGAGGCCGGTGTGATGGCAGCTCACAGCACAACTATGTCTTCTTCATTCCTTACTCCCATACAGGCCCGTGTTGGTTGATGAGAAAATGACGCTACTCTCTTTGAGACCTTGTCCAAGTCATGTAACCATTCTGATCTTCAATTTCACCACCAACAAAATGAATCAATACGATGGTCTTCAAGCACTTGGATTACCAAGTTTCTACCCCAAATAGAAAGTTGGACACTGGATAAGGAAGACTGAAGAATCAATGAATTTAAATGTTGGTGAATATTGAACATACTGCCCATGAAAAACACAAACAAACAACTCTGTTTTGCAAGAAGTACAGCCAGAGTGCTCCATAGAGGTAAGGGTGGTGAGATTTTGTCTCAGGTATTTTGGACACTTTATCAGGAGAGACCAGCCTCTGGAGAAATATCTCATGCATGGTAAAGCCGAGGGGCCAGGAAAAAGCAGCAGGCCCTGACAGGACGGATTGAGAGCAGTGGAGAGGATGGCACGGGACGGGGTGCTGTTTCTCCCTGTTGCACAGGGAGAGGCGCCTGACAAGCTCCCGGGCTCCGCCTCTCAGCTTCTGCTCCAGCAGTTCTCTGCCTCGGGTGCAGAGTTTGAAAACCTCACTGGGCGACACACTGACCAACATGTGGTCTTTTTATCGAGGCTCCCTCTACACACGAGGGCTTCTTTGTGGACCAGGCAACACCATGGTTACGGTCAACTAGAGTTTCCATAAATGTTTCTCACGAATCATCCTATCCAGCTTGCCCCTGCCCCACTCCCCTAGCCCCCTGCCCAATCTAGCTATTCTGTCCTCCACAGCACTTGCCAAACTTGAGCTGCCCAGAGTGGAACGCATACAGAGGCCAAGTGGTAGGGCCCCGGTTCAGGTCACCATGGGCAGGACGCAGCTACCAAGTTCTGTCCAGAGGCTTCTTCATGCGAAGATGGCCCTCCGAAAAGCCCACTGCCATCGAGTTGATCCCATCACATCCAACCCTACACAGGATTTCCAAGACAGTAAATCTTCATGGGACCAGAGACTATTGGCCCATGTGAGTTTACTTTTGCTGCAAATATATCCACGAGCACCAGTATGGTGCAGTATACAGGGGAAAATGATGAACACTTCTTGGACATAAACAAGCACCTTAAGGGAAGGGATCAGGACCATCATCTCAGGGGACACCAAGGTCAACTGGCATAACATAGTTCACAGAGAGCATGTTCTAGGTCCTACCTTGGTGAGTAGGGGCTAGAGTCTTTGAAGCTCACGAGCAGCCACCTAAGGTGCGCTGTTAGTCTGTCCCTGTCCGGAGGGAAAAAGAGTGAAATCCAAAGGCACATGGAAACAATTAGTCCCATGGACCAAACAAACCTCAGTCTCCACACACCTGACATGATCAGAAGCACTAGCTGGTGCCCAGCACGGCCACTGTGGGCTGAAAAAGCTCACACTGGAAGCTCCTGGACATGGGAGAGGGAGGATAGAAAACAACCCAGAACCATAAAGAGAACAGCTTGTTGGCCAGATCGAGACTGGTCAGACCCCCAGACTACGGCCTCTAGTCTCCCTTCAGTCCTGGAGCTGAGCTTACTCCTGTGCTAGCATGATGATAGAAAGGGCAACAGATATCCAACGTAGCTTAGACAATTAGGAAAGGAGGGATAGGGGGAAAAAATTCTTTCTAAGAGTGGGTAGTCTCTTTGAGCCTCCACTCAAGTACTTCCTTAATGCAAGAATACTTTGTTCTATTAAACTGGCATTCTATGATGCTCACCTTCCCGACACAATAGCTGAAGATAAAGCGGGTGAATAAGCAAATG